AGAAGACCAATTGCCCTAAACAAGGTTATCTTGACACTCTCCGAACATCCTAAAAATCTACGGGCTATCATATTCGCACAAACAGACAGCGCTTTACGCTCCCGCTCAATATCAGCATCGTCTTTTAGGTCCGAGCTCAGAATATGTCCAAGATAAGTAGTATATTATTGGGCATTCTATACCACTATCGGCAAGTCGCTCGGCGAGTGCGCCTCGCTGCCGATAGTGGTATAGAACGCCCAATAATCGATACTCGACTCGACTCTCTACTCGACCGATAAACTCGAACGGAACAGTTCATTGTGTAGCGTACTTGATTAGGAACGATTAACTTAACCAGTGACTAGTAACTTGCTCCTTACCACTATCTTCCATACGCCTGGCTAGTATGCCTCGTTTCAGAGAATGATAAAAATCAACTATCAACTCGACTCTACATTTACTTACTGTAGTCGGTCGATCACTCGAGTTTGCATTTGCTGTTACCATGCAAAGCGTTAAAGGTTTGTTAGTGTAAATAATAAACAACTCTAAGTTAGCTACTGGATTTAATTATCATAAAATGTTGGTTTGTCTGGAAACAAGATATCAGCCGCACGCACGAGCTCTTGTAATTTTCGCCATTGAGGAGAGTCCGCGTCAGTCTGGAACTTGATTCGGACGAGCGCTTTCTTCCACAGCTCGGCGGAGTCAGTAAGGCGAGCGTCGTCAGCCTTGTACACCTTACAGTCGATGTAGAATTCTCCCTCGGTGACCGTTGCTCTGCGCTCGCAACCGCTGGCTACACGGTTCACAAAAAATGAAGTTAGGTGATCCAGTGACTTTTCCTTGTGTGGGATGTCGAGGTTTTTGCTGATGCCGAATATGTCGATGTCAGTATTGATTTTCTTACTGAAACAATAAAGAAAGCTGTTATTAGTTAGTGTTTAGAACGAGAGATGCATGGGTAAAAAACGTCTGTGGTAAAAAAAAAAAAAAAAAAATATAACGACGCGTGTAAGCAATAATCGCTTAATATTTTATGAAAGATACCTTGGATATTTGTAAAGAAAATGCTACACGTGACTATTAAACAAATGGAATATTAAAAAAACCTATGTAAATTGCATGATTATAATTCAATAAGTACGTACGTACCTATCTACTTGACTGTTATAATTTAATCAAAGCTAGAAGATAATTCATTCAAAATATTATTTACCTAGCTCGAGCTGCTGATGTTGTTTGTGACTGCATCTTGCGTTTCCCCTTGCTGTCTGCAGATGCGTTGCGGCTAGACTTCACTTTTTGTCTAGTGATCGATGCTTGCGAGTATTCACACTCTGAGTCTGACCTGAAATAAAGATAGGGGAAATTTAGTCACACAATTATAATTATTTCTCAATGGAGTAATCTCCATTGCGTAGGGCAAGTGTTCAGGTAAACACTGGTTCTATATTCCAATAAGATAGCGCAACCGGAGAGATTTTAGATGACGATCGACTGATCTGTAAAGTAACGCGCTCACAGACAAACAAACATAGTTATAGATAACAAACGGATCACAAGTGAGAACCAGGAAAAGGAACAGAATACTTTGTTAGACTTACATTTTTTTTCAATCAGTAGTTCCACTTGTAGATGACAGCAACGAATGGCTATTGACAATGTTGTCACTGATAATGTAGGCAACTCGAAGTTGTATACTGTTGATAACAGTACACTTCGTTGCACTTGCAGACTGCGAATACTCTGTACTGAATACTTGTAGCTTATAAATTAAAATTGAATTATAAGTAAAGCATGTTAAAAACCGCTACAATCAATTTGGTATTGCTGTGTTATAGAAACGTTTTCTATAGTCGTATTATACGCGTTTGTAAAATGAAAACGACGGAATATTTTTCGCTGTCGAACCGAATGTCGATGCAGCGAAATGAGCTAGGGCTGACCAAACGATAGCGTGCACGGATTCACCACACACACCACATTGATTTTATTATTTTGAAGATGTAAATAAACGTTTTTAAGACAGATACTTATGTTGCCATCTACGTTGAGGTCTTGTTTAGAAAAGATGAACTTATTGTCGTCCACCACGTACTTTTCTAGACTTTCTAAAATAAATACATAATATAATTCCTGTAATAACGTCAACAGCCATGAGGAAACCATAAACATCAATATCTATCGATATACTATGATACATATTAATAGTATTAGTGCATTATGTAAAATTTGTGTATTGCTACCAGCCCTAACTAAAATAGCTGATTATTGTGATTGGGAAATAAATAATAAGGTTTAGCACTCGTGTTACATTTGGGTAATAACAACTTTTATGATGAAATATTTTTCTGCTTTGTAGACAAAATATTAATAAAAATATAACCTAAAATATTATACATTACCTCAAAGGTCTCTCACACCCATAACAATCAAGTCAATTATTTTAACTTGATTGTCACATAACAATCAAGTCAATTATTTTAAATAAATATTTTAATGTATCACACCAAAAAGTATATACGAAAAAGTTCATCTTATGAAGCAACTTTGTCAACTGTATCATTGGCACCTGAAATATATCTACATATTGTTCAGGTAATTATCAAATATCATAACATAACAATAATTATGACATTTTTCAACCTTGAATTTACAAATATTAACTCTTTATCAGTACCTAATATAACCATATTTTTATTTCAGATATATTCTATCTAAACATAATATTACCGACTTGCCTGTGAAAGAAATTATTTGATTACCTGAAGTATACCATCATATTTGGACCACGCAGATACACATTCTAATGTATAAATAAGTCCATTTTCGCAGGTAATTATTAAATATATTTTTCTTCCCAGAATATACCATAATCAGGTTATGTATCTAATGCATCCATTTTATTTATTTCAGATGTATTCTGCCTTTAAACATAATTATCGACTTGCCTGTGAATAACTACATAAGGATCTTGGAACGAACGTAAATAGTCTTGATCAAGTTCTACTTTATAAATACTACTAACTTTATAAAATATTTTGTAACTATATACCTAAGACGTGAATATTACTTGTAAGTATTACTTAGTCTAATTATATTGAAATAATTATTTCAACTGTCAAACACCAAGCGGTCACCGGTGACCGCGACCTATTGTTCTTTAATTGTGTCTATAAAACCGGTACTCGACGAGTTAAAGTGATCTTTGATTCAAACAATAACATAATGCCTCACTGTTCTGATTGCAAAGTATTTGTAGATAATCGTCGATGGTCTGGTCATTTACGTAGCAATATACATAAAAACAATAGTTCTACCCCTATTTATGATAATGTTGCAATTATTAATTCTTCTTTTAAAGAACGAATTAAAAGTTACAAAATCACAGCGACAGGCGAACAAATACATAGTTTCCCTGAGATGTTTCTTAAAAGTATTAGTACACAAGTCAAGCATCTAATAGATACTTCAATACAGAAACACACCTCTGTCAAAATAAACTGCGAACTGTTTGCTTCATTTCTTATGTTTAAAAATGATCAACAAGAAATAAAGTCATTCCGAACAAACAATTTTATTACACATTTTAATTACGATTTTGATGCTATTTATAAAATAATTGTTGATTTACTACTAAAAAAAATTGAAGAATTTGAGGAAAGAGATAGTGGTTGGACTTTTTTAGGTAATTCACATTTAGAATTAAATATTTATAAATATCAACCACTCAGCGGATCTAAATTTTTAACTTTACCGAAATTCATAAAAAGTAAAAGAGCTTGTTTGAATATTCGGAACAATGATGAGTATTGCTTTTTGTGGTGTGTTGTGGCGGCATTGTACCCCACAAATAGACATCCCGATAGAACTTCGTCTTATCCCCACTTTCAGGATGTTTTGAATGTTAATAATTTGACATTTCCAATTACATTCTCGAACATAGCTATCTTTGAGAAAAATAATCCTTCTATGAATATATTTGTATATGGTTTAAAAAATGAGAAGACAATTATTGGACCATTGTATACAACGTTGAATAATAAGTCTAATAAAAGTATCCATCTACTGTTTATAGAAAACAATAACAATTCTCATTACTGTCTTATCAAAGATTTATCTCGTTTAGTTAGAAATCAGATGACCAAACATCATGGTAAACTATATTTTTAACCGACTTCAAAAAAGGAGGAGGTTATACGTTCGGCCGGTATGTTGCTTTTTTTTTTTTTTTTTTTTTTTGTATGTATGTACGCGCATAACTCTGAGATGCGTGAAGCGATTTGCAAAATTCTTTTTTTGTTTTAAAGAGTATACTTGGAAATTGGTCCCATAAAATTTTGGTCATGATCTGGTCTTCCACTTCGAAGATACACCATACAAACCCTGAAATTTCTATGGCATCCAACCTCCAATTTTGACTGATTGCGTTTCTTTGGATAAGTTCTATACATTACACTGAGTGACGAGGGTCTGATGATTGACCTGATGATGGAGACAGGAGGTGGAAGATTAAATATTGGAACCCCCCGAGTTTGGGCTCATTTTTTTTGGTTTGACGAGCTCTTTTATTTCAAAGTGGTGATGGAGCAATCCTCATCATCACATTCTTCATCATCAGGTTCATGATGAATCTAGGACATGGAAAACCTAAATTTGATGGCATCTAACCTCCAATTATATCTTATTGGGTTTCGTTGGATGGATTCTATACATTACACTGGGTGACGAGGGTGTGGCGGTAGACCTGATGATGAAGACAAGAGATGGAGGAGGACAAACATTGGAAATCACTCGAGTTTGGGCTCATTTGATTTAGCTTAACGAGTTCTTTGCACTCAGCATGAAGATAGAGAAATGCTCATCACCACATTCATGATGAGTCATTGTTGAACATCTTAAAATTCTTGATCATCATGTCGATAATGGATTCAGATAATGGCATTAGTAACAGGAAATGGAATGAATAACACAGAAAAGGAATGAATAACACAGAAAGGGAATACGACAGTTACTTATAATTGTCTAAGTCGTTGCATTTCAGTGAATGCCTTATTGTCGTGTGGTCTATTTAACAATTTGGATGATTCTAAGTCGCATAATGCAATGCCATCTAAATTTTTTACACGACTTAAAGCCACGTAAACTTGACCTTTTGCAAAATTCTTTTTACCAAGGTCGATAACTGCCCTCTCTAATGTTGTCCCTTGCAGTTTGTGGACTGTTACTGCCCAGCTAAGTATTATAGGCAACATTCGCCTTTCTACGTCACCGTAACCTTTATTAGCCTGAAATGTTGCACATGTAGGCGCAATAGATACAAAGCCTTCTGCGTCTTTAACTCTGCGACCCACAGTTTCATCGTCAAATTGGACCAGTACGGCTTCGGGTAGCTCACCAGCTTCTAATTGATCGCGCCGGAGCGCCGGCCACTTAATATTTTTGATTACGCCCATTGCCCCATTAACTAGTCCATCTGATACTGAAATGTTTCTTCTTAACATAATGCGTGAGCCAACTCCGATTTTTAAAGAAGTTAATAGGCCCCCACAGTTGTTTGGGTCCACTGGAACTACATTATGAGGCGGGCGTTTACCATAAGTAGCCGCTTCTCGGGACTCATCAACCGCGTTTATAACGTAGACCCGAGATTCCTTTATCAGGGACTCTGTCATTCGAGAGTTGTACTCATCTACTAATTTGAGAGTTGGGAATATTCTGACTGCAGCGCCGTCTGCAAAATTTCCTGTCAAACTTGTGTGTCGCTTTTCACACAATAACTCTAATTGCGCTGTAGTCAGCTCGCCAAACCTTAAATTATTTAGCAGATCAATAAATTCCACATCAGCCCTTTGCCGCATATTGATAGTCAATTCGCAGAACGAAAATTGACGCCACAAATGTATTTCGGCACTTAGCCGTGGTGGTTGCTCAAAGCACCAGTGTCCTTTAACAGGTGGCAGCTGCATTATGTCACCAAATATTAAAACATTTATGCCGCCAAACAATAAGCTGTTATTTTTAAATTCTTGCAGCCTCAAGTGAATATTACGAAAATTCTCATATGACACCATCGAGATTTCGTCAATAACGAGCCATTGAATATATCGCCACTTTCGTCTTTCCCTTTCCAATCTCTCGCCAGTCATTTTACTGTAGGACATGGTATTTCCCTTTTCTATTGGTAATGCGAAAACCGAATGAAGAGTCCGCCCATTTATTTGTTTTGCAGCAACTCCAGTTAGAGCCGCTACTTCAACAAAAATTGGCTGAAGTAACGGGTCTACTGTAGGAGCATAACATCGCCGAACTTGCTCCACGATTAATTTTAATAGAAAAGACTTTCCACTGCCAGCACCACCAGTTATAAATAATAGTAATGGTTGATAAGCTGGATCGTCTTGCAAATTTTTTTGGATTGTTTCAGACACTCGCTTCATTAAATCTTTTTGCTGTATATTTAGTCTTTGAATCCCATCTAAAAATACGTCATCTGGCATAACAGTAGGGTTATTGTCATTATCATCAAAATCATCATCTTCATTATGTAGCTCAATTTGATCGTCTGCATATATATTCGCAGGTTCTCTTGTTATTCTCTCAGAAGCTTCAGTATTGAATGCGTTAAGAGCTACAGCTTGAGCAAGAGCCTGTTGAATAACAACTTCTGCGTGAGCAAATTGTTCCGCTGATTGATTTTGGTTGAGAGGCCTTAACTCTGTTTGACGTCGTAAAAAACAAGCTTCAGGTGTCTCATCCTCCCTCATTAAGTCGCTCTCAATGCGAAAAGGTATATGTAATACTATCAAATTGTAATAAAAACCATCGCGATCGCTGTTTAATGTAAAATATCGATGTCTAAGAACTGCTGCTTTATTTCTTATTCGCATTTTCGTATTGTCGCGCAGAGTGATGTATCTGACTGTTTGAACATCTTGCTCACGTAGTTCGCTGTCCCCATCATCTTCAGTATATGTTAAACCTGACACATTTTCATAACGGACAGCAAACTCGGCTAAACTTAAATTTTCAAGGCAGTCAGGCCTTAACTGATATTTGTCAAACACATTATTAAAAAAAGAAGTATCATCACTGTCAAAGCGCAGAAGTCTATACCGTTGGCTAGGCAAACAGCTATTGACAAAGATGGCTTTTCTTGAGCTGAACTTAAGGGGCAAGTGACATAGCCTATAAGCCGCTTCAGGTGCACTAACCAATCTCTGGCTCAAAATTGCCATAGAAACCGCAAACAACTGCTTCCAGACGTCATTTGAATGGCGTTTTGCCTTTTGAACAGCCTCTCTTACAACTTCGCCACAATCATTAGGTTCGCACTTACTTGCATATTTGGCGATGTAATATGCCACAGCTGTCACATTGCCACAAGGCTGAATATCCATATTTCCTTGCCATAGCTGAAGTAAGAGTGGATTGTAATTGTTAACCATCACTGCGTTTTCGTTTCTTTTAAGCACACAAAATCGCCCTTGGTTCGTAAGAGTTTCATCTGGGCCTAAACATTTTGTTTCCTCACTAATTGGCCTAGGAAATCCAAATCGACATGAATTGTTATTTCTATCTTTATAACATGTTGCAGAATGATGATGAAGCTGTAACCTTTGCACAATATTAGCATTTTCGCCATCTACTGAACACGAGACTACTTTATCAATTAGTCGCAATCCTTCGTTGGAATGGAAGTCTGGCACAGCATCACACCATATCAACATATGTAAATGAGGACTTCCCCTGTTCTGAAACTCTATACGATACCAGAAATCAATGACAGGTCCACCAAAACACTCGTTATTTTTTTTAATATAAGCCATTAACGCATAGACTCGAAGAGTAAATTGCCGTGCAATAATGACTGGATACTTTTGAACTAAGTGAAGTCGTTCTTGAAAGTTCAAATCTTCTATATTTGTTTCCGATCTCCCATCAGCTATAAGCAACGCCTTCAACATGTCCGGCCAGTTAAGATCGTTACATGAGAATGTGGCGAACCAAGTAGGTGCACCAAGAGACCGTACCATGGCAATTAGCTCCGCACAACAACGTTTCCAATAAGAAGATGAACCTCTGATATTTCTCATAGTCAAATGAATGTTGTCTACTAACCCTTGAGGCATATTTTGATTTTCACTTTGCCGCAATCGACAAGAAACAGACACACTCGCTTTAGCTTTAAAATACTCGACTATAGACAATGCAAAAAATAAATAATCAACTTTTTGAAATCGGCTTTCATTGCTCATAATACGTGCCTGAAAGTAATCGAGAGCTGTAATTGGTATCTCTCTTCTTTCACCGTAACCATTTTTACCGTCAGGATATAACATATACCAACATAATTCCTCCATCCTTTTCTCCCTTTCTATGTTTAAGGGTGGTGCAGTTTTTCTATGAACATCTGCCACTCTCACATTATTAAAACCAGGAACTTCCGAATTAGTATCTATAACAGAATCTAAATTTGGGATATTTTCGTCAACATAATGCAACATACTGGTTGAATATACAAGGCGTCTGCCTTCATTACTGGGATTATCTCCTGTTTCACGAGTTTCAGTGGTTCCCTCTATGGGATTATTAATATTTGAGGTACTTATAGGCTGAGTTGGAGCCATTTCGTGATCGGCATCCAATCTATGTGCGTTTACGGTTGCAGTAGATTCTGATTGTAAAACAACCGTTTCCTCTACTGGAGCAATTGGTGTTAAAGAATATACATTCACAAAATGTACTGGCCCGTTAGCAACTTTTAAATTACTACACAGTAGTGTAGTTAGCTGACGAATGTTTTGAAATCTCATGCAGCAAGAATAACCACCAGTTCTGCCTTTATGTCCCTTTGGTCCCCTAGCGTGGGAATCAAAGAGCCAATATAATTCATTTTTGAGAGCTATACACACCGAAATATCATTAGCAGTCAAAATTCCGAACTGGTTGCTACTGAAAAAATTTATCAAACCATTATAAAGGTTAGGAAATCCGTCTGTACTTTGATCTCTGATGAGGTGACCGTTAATTGCTGAATCATGTCCGATGTGTAATTGTACACAGGAACCACGAAATGTTACTTGAGGTAAAAGTTCGGTTGCGGCTAAATATTCTGTATTAATTTCATTTGAATCTGGTACTGGTCTGGCTAATATACTTTGTCGATAAAATTTATCACCTATTATTAATATATAATCTAAATCACTTGCTGCCCATGTTAGAGGATCATATTTAGCAAAAGCGACACAAGCGATTGCTGCTATAGCAGTACATTGTTTACCTGCAGATGCCAATCTATCACTGCCCTGATGAAATGAACCACGTAAAATTAAAACATCATTGTTTAAAGTGTTATATTTATTTGTACTATTATTTTGCTGGTTATTAATCATTTGAAGGGGTGGATAAGGAATTATATTATGTGCTGCAGAATTATCAGAAATTTCAATAATCTGGGAAATATCACTGACTATAGTACTGAAATTAGGTCTTACATCACTATATAATGAATTATTTCTCAATAACCAGGAAAGTGCCACTTTGATTCTGTCCAAATTTACTTCAAATTCCTTGTGGTAGTCCAAATTTTCTCTCGTTTCTACTACAAGTACCAAACCAGCTTGAGATAAAGGCAAGGGCAACTGTTCAGCCAATTCTATCACATCTTGAGCAAATAAAATTACTTGTCCTTTACACCAGCTTTGACTGAACCGGTTATTAACTTTAATTATTTTCAAAAATGGAACTATTCTTGACAAAAGCCTTTGCTCTATTTCCGATAAACTAGTTAGTTCTTGAGGCACAGGTGTTAATTCCATGTTGTTCCAGTAGGCTTGAGAAGGTATTTTACCTTTTCTAATGTTAGTGGAACATCGGGAACACACTGTAAGTTTTTGCTTCGCTGCTATCTCTTGTGGTAGTAAATGAGATCGTGACCCAACTGCCAATGATGTCCGCTGCTTTGGATACAATAATTTTCTACAGATCGTACAAGCCTCATCAGCGAATTGGTTGATAGTGTTCAAAAAGTTTTGATCATTCATTGAACGCAGATTTTGAGAAATACGTCGCATACTGGCTAGTCTTCTTTCCCGCTGCTCCATGGATTCGTTTGTAATCCGATCACGTATTAAAGTCAACCTATGCTCACGCTCTTCAAGGGAATCGTTGGCCACACGAGAGTACACCAAACTGAGCCTATGCTCACGCTCCTCAAGGGATTCATTAGCCAGACGAGAACGCACCAAACTTAGCCTATGCTCACGCTCCTCTAGGGTCTCGTTATCCAGACGAGAGCGCACCAAACCGAGCCTATGCTCACGCTGCTCTTGGGACTCGTTATCCAGACGAGAGCGCACCAAACTTAGCCTATGCTCACGCTCTTCTAGGGTCTCGTTATCTAGACGAGAGCGCACTAAACTGAGTCTATGCTCTTGCTCCTCTAGTGACTCGTTGTCCAAACGATAGCGAACCAAACTTAGCCTATGCTCACGTTCTTTTAAAGACTCGTTGGCTAGACGAGAGCGTACCAAATTAAGCCTATGCTCACGATCCTGCGCGGACTCGTTGGCAAGACGATGGCGGACTGTGTGCAGTCTATTCTCATACTGCTCACACGTTTCTTGGCGCCTACGAGTATTGACATATTGTTGCATTGCAACTAAACGAATTTCCCGCGCTTCAGGTGTCTCTAAAGAGCGCATAAGATTGTTTCGATCAGAATTTTTTCTCAATCGTGCTTTTCTCATCTCCTCCGTTTCTTGAGACCGATGTTTTTTGGCACGGCTGGCACCTTTTGTTGGTCTACCCATCATGAAAAAGATACCTTCTAAACCTATGCAATATCTACTATTATTTGAGTACACTAAAAAGCATAAAATAAAAAAAAATATTAAAAAAACCGACTTCAAAAAACCAAGTAACTACAAAGAATAAAATAAAAATATTAATTTTGCTTAAGTGCGATATATTTTGAAGTCGGGCCGCTAATAAGGAAGAAAAAAAACTAAAAATTAAAATAATAAGGATTTTAATACTCAAAACGAACTACAAAATAACACTAACTACTAAACTAACTACTGCTTACTGATATAATTATACCTACTAGTATTAACTAAACTAAAATATCAAACTATGACTTATTTAACTATCTACTAATTACTTACTGCTTAAACTTAACACTACTTACTACTTAAACTAAACACTACTTACTGCTTACACTAAAAACTACTTACACTAAACACTACTTACTGCTTAAACTAACTCCTACTACAAACAACGAAAATATAGATACAAAGACTCAAGTGCCTATCTAAAGTTTTTGAATTTGGGTAGGTGGCTGCTTCCCTGCGTTACCGGGTCGCTGTGCCAAATATCGTAACTCGTAAGTACAATAGCGCAAAAACAACATAAGCCCGAAGGCGTTTCATTTGATTTTTTGGGAGTTTTAGCCAGAATAACATCTGTTACCGCCTTCACCGCGTGGAGGTACTCCCAGCTTATGCTATTAATAGGTATCCACTCTTGATTGCGTATATACACCTTACGTGCTTTGTTTGTCTCAGAACTTGCAGGATAATAATTTTTGACAACAAAGTAGGTACCTACTGATTTTCGTGAGTAGGTAAATAATTTATCAACCTGTTACCGTGTTCAAAGTAAGAACAAAGTTGACAGTACCTAGGAGCTTTGAACATCATACCAACACTGTAATAATTACTTATTTAAACATATAAGTACTTGGCGGCCCGACTTCAAAATATATCGCACTTAAGCAAAATTAATATTTTTATTTTATTCTTTGTAGTTACTTGGTTTTTTGAAGTCGGTTTTTTTAATATTTTTTGTGAAACATGTTTACTGTTTTTTCCAACACTTAGTCAAATTGAATCCCACTTGTGTGGAGGGATTGTTACTGTTTTACCGGAACAAGGATCATTTTTAAAATTTAAAAATTATGATAGGAAACAAAGTATTCCATTTGTCATATTCGCGGACTTCGAAACGTTACTTGAACCCATTTCCGGCACTGAATTCAACACCGCTAACACGTCATACTCACAGCGCCACGTGCCGGCGGCGTTTGCATATAATGTCGTCTCATCAAATAATAATGATACCGTTGAGGGCTATAGAAGTTATCGCGGTAATGATTGTGTTTCAAAATTCATACATTTTCTTACTGAGGATGTAAAACAAATACATAGAATTATATCCAAAAACGAGCCTATGATATTCAGTGATGAAAATTCTCTTGAGTTCAAATGTGCTGTTAAGTGTCATATTTGCGACAATTTACTCTTGACCGATAAAGTAAGAGATCATTGTCATATTACAGGCGTATATCGAGGTGCAGCACATAGACATTGTAATTTGCAACATAAAGTGCCTAAGTTTATTCCAATATTTTTTCACAATTTATCAGGGTACGATTGTCATTTATTTATAAAAAGTTAGGAGAAATTCCAGGCCCAATTAAAATAATCCCTAAGACTAAAGAAAAATACATAGCATTTACCAAGTTTATTCCTGTTGCTGATAATGAGTATATTTGTATTAGATTTTTAGATTCATTCAACTTTTTAGGGACCAGTTTAGACAAGCTCGCTAAAACATTGCAGGTGGAAGATTTTGTTAATCTTCGATTTCATTTTCCTAAAGATAGACAGTTTAATTTATTGACAAGAAAAGGAATATATCCATATGATCACATGACCAATTGGGGATGTTACGATCAAAAATGTTTGCCACCTAAAGTTAATTTTTATAATTCTTTGTCTAACGAAGACATTACTGATGAAGATTATAATCACGCACAGACTGTTTGGACTGAATTCAATATTAATAACCTCGGCGAGTATACGGACCTATACTTAAAAACGGATGTGCTTTTGTTGACAGACGTATTTCAAAATTTTCGGAAAACCTGCAAACAATATTACAATCTTGACCCCGCGTTTTACATTACTGCACCTAGTTTATCTTTCGATGCAATGTTGCTAAAAACGGGCGTTCAGTTAGAACTCGTGTCGGACTTAGCTATCATCAGAATGATACAAAGCGGTATACGCGGTGGTTTATGCATGTGTTCCCATCGGTATGCTAGAGCCAATCACAAATACATGCCTGAATATAATCCATCACAACCTCAGAGTTTCATAGTATATTTGGATTGTAATAAATCTTTACGGTTATAGCATGTGTCAGTATTTACCATACTCTAGTTTCAGATTTTTAAGTGATAACGAATTAACTAATTTTAATGTTACCACTATAGAGGATAACGCAAAGTGGGGCTTCATATTAGAAGTCGATCTATTGTATCCCGAGCATTTACATAATAACCATAATGACTTACCATTTTGTCCTGAAAAATGTGTACCACCGGGTGGTAAATCAAAGAAACTTATAGCAAATTTATATAATAAGTACAACTATGTAATTCATTACGTTCATTTAAAAAAATGCTTAGAACATGGTTTAATATTACGTAAAATTCATAGAGCTATTACTTTTAGACAGAGTCCATATTTAAAACAATACATAGAGTTAAATACTCAATTAAGACAAAAAGCAAAAAGTTCCTTCGAACAAGACTTTTTTAAGTTATTAAATAACAGTGTTTTTGGAAAAACATTAGAAAATACTGAAAATAGAGTAACCGTTCATTTAGTTAATCAATGGTGCGATCAGTCCAATCGAACTAAGAAATTTATATCCGCTGAGAAACTTATAGCCAACCCTTATTTCCACAGTGCATCTATTTTATCTGAAAATTTAGTTGCAATACAAATGAAACCTGATCAAATTATTTTAGATAAGCCTATATACATAGGTTTCACTGTGTTAGAACTTTCAAAAGCACACATGTATTACTTTCATTACAATATTGTAAAGCCTTTTTATAAAGATCGAGTGCAGCTATGTTACACAGATACCGATTCTTTTGTCTATAAAATATACACTAACGATTTTTACCATGATTTAAAATATAATTTTTTGCAATATTTTGACACCAGCAACTATGAAGTCACGAATGATTTACAGATACCGCTTAAAAATAAAAAGGTTCCCGGTCTCTTCAAAGATGAAATGGGAGGAAAATATATATCAGATTTTGTTGGTTTGAGATCGAAACTTTACTCTATAAAAACCCCTAATAATATCATTAAAAAAGCGAAAGGAATAAAATCATGCGTGGTCAGGGATTTAAACTTATCAGACTATGAAAACATTTTATTTAATGGTGGAGTAATCCGGAGGAAAAATAATATGTTTAAATCAATAAACATGAAATATTTACTCGGAGTGTCAACAAAGTTGCTTTATCTAGAAATGATGACAAACGATCGATATCTGGGATCAAATATCAACCCGAGCCTGGGGTCATGCATTTATATTTAAGAATGAATTACTTTGATCTTAATTTAACTCGTCGAGTACCGGTTTTATAGACACAATTAAAGAACAATAGGTCGCGGTCACCGGTGACCGCTTGGTGTTTGACAGTTTAAATGTTATCTACAGTTAATCATGTATTAATTTAAGCTTAGTTTTAGAATATAATAGATGTTATTGATATACAATAATGAAATAAAATGTGAATTATTACAATTATATTGACTTGTTTCATTTATGAAATCCATTCAGAAAGCAACTTTGGCATGAGGTTAAAAATCGAAAATGAAGTTTTTAGGGATTCGAACCCATGACCTTCTGCATAGAAGTCCGTCAATATCGCCACTGTACCATCGTAGATAAATTAATCAAGTTTTGTGTTGTAACAAGTTTATACATGTAGCTCTAATGTAATACGACACTGCACACCGTCACGTTCATTGTCCACAACATCGATCAAAAATGCATAGTTTTACATTTTAGGTGTCGCAATGCAACCTACATTTTATTGCACGATGATTATTAATTATTTACATACTACTTTCTTCTCGTGGGTCTGCTAGCTAACGATACTTACAATACTTTAGTTATTTGATAGATATTATCCTCTCAGATACTCGTACTGCGTGAGACATCATATTCTAAACAAGACTTCGGTAAGTAAATAATGTTTATTAATTAAAGTATATATGTTTTAATTATTGAAGGTTGTGGGTAGACATATAACGCAGTGATTTAAGGGTTCAATACCACACAGGGAAAGAATTTGATTGGTCTCAAAATGTTTATTTATCTGAATCTGAGTTATCTGTATTCATTAATTGTTATATTTGTCAAACTATTTCTGATATAGGATTACATTAGTGCAGTTGCTTTAAGTTATCTATAATGTTCTCTTTATTCTTTGTTTCAGATAGCAGGCTCTGACATTGTATTTAGTCAATACGCTCAGGATCCTTATGAAGAGTTTAATGAGATGCTTCGATGCGAACGCGGGGCTAGCAATCAGGTTCCGAAGGAAAAAAGTCTATGCCCCGTCGCAGGGAAAAATCTAGGAAACATAACTCGACTCAATCTTTCGTCATGAGTAAGCATCATCGACGGGGCAGTAAACTAATAAAAATTACAGTGATTGACCTGTGTAACAATTGTCCAGACAGTGATAGTGACAGTAATAGTGATAATGTTATCCTACAAGCCCAATACGTGGTCAAAGACGCGGTTGACTTTATTATGGACGAAACGGAGTCGTTAGTAAGAAAATATCGAAATCGTTAATCGATAGTGATTTTTAAAAGCCTTGTGCTTATTGTGTTAGTTAAATTAGGATAAATATTAGGTTAAGTTAGTTTGTGTAATGTTTTTAAACTTTAATATTGTATATTTTATTTGTATAGAAGTATTATGAGGTTCG